CTTTCATAACTGACACCCACCAGATTTATGTTACTACCTCATTGACACGTTCTGCAGCAGCGGGTCATTGTGACTGCAGCACTGTTCAGGATGTCCATTAATTCAGTGCAGGATGTCTTGGGGGGAATCCTCAAGTACGACGAATTTACAGAGCACCGTACTTACCTGTACTCCAGCTTGAGGCGCACTGGATCGTGCCCGAAGAGTGGTGTGGGTATGAGAAAGCCAATCTTCTCCTCCTAACTTACATCCTCTGTCAGAGCAGCTGATGAGACTTCGCTTTTTCTGTGCTTTTTTCACTCGGTTACATATGCTGGCACATATACACACACTGATATATACACACAAAAAACACATACCGGTAGCCCCGGTGCCTGCATGGGTCTGGTTTGTGCCCAGTGACCGTGGTGAGCAGCACCATTCAGCTGGTGACATCTCACTTGAGAGTTTCTGTGCATTGCCAGGTCCTGCTTTAAATCAAGCTGCAGTTACAGAGGGTACGAATTCTGTTGCCCGGGTGTTTGGTGTTGGGAACAGGTAAGTGTGTATTCACCCCACTACAGACAAAAGTCACCTGTGCTCTGAAGAAATCCACTTCTCTGTGTGAGGGGGCACCTCCTTGCCAGCCGTCACCTTTTCTACTGGCACAGGGGCCAGCTGGCATCAGTTATGATGTACTGGCTGGGGAGGAGGATCCCAGTTCAGGAGAAATGAGGGTGAGATCACCAGCTCAGTCTCCGAGACCCCCCACGTGCTGGGAGAAGGGATCATCGTGCACGGTTCCTGACCAGCAGTGTGGAGGCTGGGGCTGTTGCAGGGCTCATCACAAGCCCCCTAAGCTATTTGCTCCCCTTCTGTGCAGAATGTATTTGTTGTACACATACTTAAAGTGCTTCAGGTAGGAAAATGAATATTTACAATTAAATATATGTAAATGGAAGTGGAAAGTCTTGATTGGAAAAATACCAAGTTTCTAATACATATTACTCTATGAAGACCTCCCACATAAGACAAACATTTATAGTCAAATCTAACGAATATTCCGTTCTGGTTCCTGTGCCAATAGAGAGCCATGGAAGTATCAAAATCTTTTTGTTTGTACCTCGATCCTCTACAGAACTGGAAGAATATTTTGATTTGGCTCCAGTTGACACAATAACTGCCTATTGGGCTGGCTAAAGCTGACGTCATCCCGTGCCTTTTAGCTCATCTTATGCAGCCACGCAAGGTACAAGGAGCAGGTGATCCCTGCAGACGTCAAACATGGGTAGTATTAAGTTGTTTTTTCAGAAGATTGTTCTTTTTTAGCCGCACTGGTACAACTAGCCTGTGATTGTCCAATGAGCAGTAAGTTCCACTTCCATTTTTTCTGAAGCCATTATTTCCAGCAAGTCTTCTTCTTGTCTTGTGAATGCCATCGCTCCCACCACGCTCTTTCTCTGCCCCCCCTCGCTCACACGTCGGGTTTTGAGTGTGGTGGGTGTCACTTCTCCTCCTATCTCCCCATCTGTTCCCACGATCAACACAGTCCAGCCCCTGCTTTGCATCCAGTATGGGTATGCTCTTTATCCTTGGTCTGGCTTGGCTTCGCGCTTTTCCCGTCTCTGCTTTGCCCTCTCTGCTGTGTCTTTAGTCCCCTTGGCCATCAGAGACCGGAGGGTTTAACACTGCAGCTAATTTGGGTAGAGTGTCCCTGTTCCCCAGGCTGCACGCCGCTCTTGCTTCCCTCGCACCACCGCTGGCTGTCACCTGGCAGCTTCAGTGAGATGGGGCCGAGGAGTCAAACTGGTAGAAAACAGCCTGTGGTGGCAGCAGAAGAGAAAGTACAGTTCTTGGTGCTTTTAGCTCACTGAACCAGGTCATCAGGGTTGGATAAGTGCCAGCGGTACTGCAGGGCATGGGGTGGAAAAGAAGGGCAAGGCACCCTTTAGGAGGGCAGCTGCAAGGTCAGGCAGTCTTCTGCAGACTGCCAGCCTTGTAACCCCTCCATCTCTCTCCTGCGTGTCTCCTGCGGCATTTCGCACGCCAAGGGCCGGCCTGTCCCTTCCCCTAACTCCTCCAACAGGAGTCTCAGGTGGGGAAGGATCAGTTGTGCAGCGGTTTAACAGGATCAGTTGTGCCTTTGTAGCCCTAAAAAAGCGACCAGGGGTGTCCCGAGCAGCCCCAGTTTGAGGAGGGAGCTTTGGTGGGAGAAAAGCACCGTGAAAGCAGCCGTGACTTGAAAGTGGCAGGTTTTTCAACAGGTGGCAGCACTCTGGCAGAAGGTGGCCAAGGAGGTCCCACGGCTTTTCACAAGGTCTGGCTGTGGGTGGGGAGAGACTTCATCTGGCCAGCTGCACCCCGAAGAGGAGGGGTTCCCAGCAGTGGGTGCTCTGGAAGGCCACGGATACCTGTCGGTTGGTCAGCCTGCGCGATGCGCGACTTCACGGTGGGGAGGACCTGTCTCACCTTGTGGTCAAGGGCTGACAAGTTTGCCCAGGCTGGCGAATGAGTCGGGCTTTTCATGCTGCTGCAACAGCAACCTCCAAAAAAAAATTGATTCATGGAAACTGCAAACGAGCCATCTCAGGAATCTCTCCCTTTTTTTTGAGCTGAAAGAGTAAGCCTCATTATAATGAGTGGATACTTTTTTTGCCCAGTTTCTCACCCTTTGAGCCTCTTTTAAAACAATGGGGTTATTTTCAAACCAAATTTTATAAAATTAATATTGGAGTTGTTAAGGAGAGATCAAAATTTACATAAGACTTCTATTTAACCTATTGCCTATGAAAATCTACTTCAAGCTGAAACCTGTTTT